AAAGGAGGCCTCGGCAGCGGAAAAGCTAAATTTAGAAAGAGATCCTGTCAGCTTTTCCATTATTTATTGCATTCCGCCCAAAATGAGCACACTTTTCGTAAATGAAAGAGTCAACACAAGCAAAAGAATCAAAGGGAACTGGTCAACTCACCTGTCATTGAGTAATATTCCGCGAAAGGAGGTCTCAGCAGCGCCGAAACGAAACAAGCCAGGCCAGGAGACGAAATATCCGAAACAGCTCATACAAGAAGCAGTTCCAAAGGAGGAAGTTCCTCGCGCATGCACATCCGAACACTGACTGCACTGCATCACAATGTCTGTCGTGCACGTGCACAGCACGTGGCTACCACCCGTTGGTAGATCTAATACCGAGAGACTTACGTAGCCTAAGTTTTTTTTCCGACTGTCGACACTGCATTTATTCGCACAGCAGAAAAGCAACCAACAGAAAATCACGGAGTCATAGCAAACAAAACAAGATCATCGGATAATAAAAAGTGTGGCTAGACACGGCTACTCCGCAAGAGTCTCAGTCACGCAACTGACAGTCGTTGACTGCCAGCACAACAGGAGTGGCAGCATCCAAACGACTGCGGTAGGGAGAAGCACGGTGACCACGGAGGCTCATGTTGCAGGATCGAACCAAAGCAAAGGAGACAAGAGAGCGGATCCAGGACATGACGGAGGAGTAGGGTTCATGCCGCTTCTCCGAAACCATATGGCCAAGACGCTTCAGGAAAGCGTGGGCTACCTTGCCGCACCCACCAGATGCACTGAATACCAGTGGGAGAAAGGAAGCATGCTCCACCTCCCTGACGCGTTCTTCGTAGGCCCTTCTCTTCGGCTGTTCGTGCTTGGCATAGGTGGACGCGGGAGTTGAGGAAGTGTTCGAGCGCGCATGAGGGTTAAAAACCCGAACATCACAGAACGTGCGCTCAAAACGACTTCCCCAGACACCAGATGCCGCCACATCAAGACGAGCACCATCTTCCAAGATGGCAGAGCGATACCGGAGCCTTTCACCCTCCAGGGCAAATACCGAGCACCTTACGTAGAAACTTACGTAGCATAGCGATGTCGTTTTTCTTGCCAAGTGAACACAATAATAGAAAAGCTGACAGGATCGCTTTTCTAAATGTGTACTGGGAATTTCCCTTCCATATTTGGCAGTTTTCTGCATGCAGTTGATCGATACCCAGCAAATCCGTACGCATTTTCTCTGCGTGTGCCACAACGCAGAGAACCCCATCTCCGCGTAGAAATCTGGAGCCAAAACACGCGAAGCCGTAGACTCTAACCCAGACACCTGCTCTCTACGTGATTTCTCTACGTTTCACGTATAGCAGAACCTCCCTACTGTCCGAATCAGAACCTGCTCCGTCATCCACAGCGGTTTGACTCTCCTCCTCACTTGCATCGTCCTGCGTCTCACCTTCACCACCCACGCCAACCGTGAATGCCGTTGCCTTCATGTCAGTCGTCGTCCTTTCCGATTGTTTCCTTTGTATTTTTGCCGCTCCCTCTCTGACATCTGTGTTGGACGGGCTTGAGCTTGGCAGCTCTTTGGAGGTGCGTGCGGAACTGCCATTGGTGCAGCCCTCGGGTGTGCCTAAGTCTGTGCCTCTGGGTGCTTTGCATGGGGCTGTGCCTCGAGTGGTGACAGCACCTCTGCCTCCCCCTGACCCTCCTCCTTCGAGGTCTGTGTTGGTGGGGAGCACCCGCGGCGGTCGATTTGTCCCACCGGAACCAGAGCTGGATTCAACAGAAAGACCAACAACCATGGCTGCGACAACAACACCAGCTTCACATCCAACAACAACACCAGGTTCACATCCAACAACAACAAAAACTAATCCACAAAACAAAGCAGCAAATGACAGACCACGGCGATCTACAGCAGATTACAACCGGACCTATGAATTCACGGTAAAAATACAAAGGAAATTATTTATTTATTTATTGCAGCATCTCATAGCACAGTGAGAACACCGGCCAATACAAAGAGAGAGGGTGTTAGCCAACCACGGCAAGGAAGGGAGAAGGGGAGGAGAAGAAAAAAGGAACCGGCATGGATAAGTAGTGATTGCAACAAAATGAGAAACGCAAAATCAAAGTCAAGGCGCGACAAGGCTCTTAAAAAGGCGGAGGGAAGAAAGGTCCTTAGCTTCTTGGGGAAGTGCCAGCCACGCAGAGTACGCAGTGAAAAGGGGAGAGTGAAGTAGAAAGGAGGACTTGGGTTTCGGAAGGGAAAGGGAGTTTCTCGTGCTACGGGAAGAAAACCAGTTGGAACAGTGGAGGTGAGGTGGACACAGATTGAGTTTGAGAGAATGGATAAGGGTGACAAGATGTGAATTACGTCTCTTAGACAAAGGGGTAGTGTGAGCAAGGGCATAAAGGGTGGAAGATGGGAGCATGCGGGGTTTCCGGAGGAGGATTTTTAGAACTTTTTTGTGCTGAATTTCGAGCTTTTCAGCACGGGTTGTGGAAATTCCAGCCCAAGCAGTATCTGCATAATCAAAAATGGGGCGTATGTAAGCTGAGTAAAAGAGGAGTTTACAAGAGATTGGGAGATGGTAACAGTGAGAAGAGAGGATTCCTAAAGATGAACTTGATCGTTTACATATGTAATCGATGTGGGGGTCCCATGAAAGATTAGAGTCAATGAAAATGCCAAGATGCTTATGGCTGGAGACTATGTCTATAGGCTGGGGGAAAGTGGGATGGAGGAGGGGCGGAACATCAGGCTGAGAAGGAAAGAGCATGATTTTAGTTTTAGACAGATTGGGCGATAACCGCCAAGACGACATCCAGGAAATTACTCTTTGAATCCCGTTAGCTAGGTTACTCATCAGGCCAGTGATGTTAGGAGATGCCCGTAGGAGCGTTGTGTCGTCTGCGAATAGTGATGTGCCCGGGGCAGCTGCGGGCAGATCATTGACGTATAAGATAAAAAGAAGGGGGCCGAGGATGGAACCCTGGGGAACTCCGGATAGTACTGTTGTGTCGGCTGAGGACGTCCCATGTACCGTGACGTACTGCGTTCGCCCAGTTAGGTAAGATGTCAGCCATAGCAGGGGATTGCCGTCTACAGTAAACGATCCACGAAGCTTGGCCAAGAGCCCCCGGTGCCAGACGGTATCGAAGGCCTTGGCAAGATCGAAAAAACAGATCCCGACTAGGTCTCCAGCATCCCGATGTCGACACACTAATTGCACCAGGCGCGTCAGCTGGAGGGTGGTAGAATCGCCTCTGCGAAATCCGGACTGAGCTGAACTCAAACGTGACGAGACATGACAGTACAATTGGTCGTAGAAAACGCGCTCACAGAGTTTGGAAACACAGGACAGTAAAGATATCGGACGGTAGTTTGATGCTTCGTGGCGGGACCCTTTCTTGTAGATCGGTATAACATTAGCTGTTTTCCATGCAGAGGGAAAACGACCAGTGCGGAATGATAGGTTGAAAATCAGACATAAGGGGTATGCTATTGAGGGCGCAAGGGACTTTAATACCAGATTAGTGATGCCGTCTGGGCCTGGCGCCTTGTCAGACGGGAGCTTTCGAATGTAACGTCGGATGGCAGCAGTCGTAGTAAAGACAGATGTGAGGCGGTCAGCCTCACCCGACTCCTCGGCAATGGGGGGAATGGGTAGAGAAGGGTCATCAGGCACGGCCACTGAGGCGAACTGAGAGTTCAATGCAGTGGCTTTAGCTGAAGAGGTAGTAGCCTGCTGTGTAGAACTAATGGTGAGTGTCGGGATGTCACGAGATACTTTATGATTTTTTAATTTGCTCACGAACTTTTATGCCAACAAATATGCTGAATTATGCTGAATTATGCTCGGTTCCACTATGTATTCACGCTGCACATAGATGATTGAGAAACTACGCATACACACACGGCCATGCCCTAAGCATAATTTTTGTCTAAACCGAAAGTTTATGGCAAGAGTACTATAGTACAGTATAGAGTATAGTTTTACGGGCAAGCAGAATACCGGTACAGACAGTGGCATGGGTCGATGGCGAACGTCAGACAATGCATGACATCATGCACGTGCGTCATGCATGACATCATGCACGTGCGTCATGCCAAGAGTACATGAAAACCAGAGTGTGCAGCTCGGTGTGTCCTCTTCAAGGAGGCTCTTGCCTTGGTTATATCAAGAGTACATAACCCCCCCGCCAGAGTGTGCAACGCCTGATCCAGCTCTGCATAGCCTAGGCTAGGGTACCGGGTCTTGGTCGAGCGGAATCGGATCTTTGCGTCATAATACCGTACACATCTGAGGGGAAACCCGGGGAGTCGCGGGTACTCTTGGATCAAAAACAATGGTGCCCTGCCTCGAGACCGGCCTTGCGCTGGTGTGGAGTGTACGCATGACATCAGAAGAGCTGGATCCACGTAACACCAGACTCAGTCGTTGCACACTCTGGGCCGGGGGGTTGTGTACTCTTGCTAGTAGTACTGAGTTTTTTTCAAAGTACTGCAAAGTACATACGTTTTTGGTTTATTCTATGATCGATTACATGGAGACTAGAAGACAAGTAAATCCACGGAACAAGAACAAGGAGACACGAATACAGTGGCATGCATGGGTCGATGGCGAACGTCAGACAATGCATGACATCATGCACGTGCGTCATGCGGAGGTCCGCTTTGTCACGTGTACTGCGTTCACGTACACAATGTGTTGATATAAATAATCAAGAGTTTCAAGCTTTCGCTAGTCAGTCTACATTCACACTTCTGGCAACTGGTTTTGCCAATGTTTTCTCCTGAGACTGTTCTGTGTTCTTACTACTTCCTGCTATTGTGCCATTCACACGGCTGTAGCATTGTGGCATTGTTGGACTGATAAGACTGGTCACGTAACATGGTGGCAGCTGGATACCGAACTCCGCTCTAGCAAGTAATTGGTTAGTATTTCCGTAGCTACGTTTTGTGTGCTTGCAGTAGAACATTTTTTTAATTTTCGGCGTAAGTACGCCAGTCGACAATGTCTAGCTCGAACAGTTCAGCCCCTGCGCGCTCCTCAAGCGGCAGCAGCGGCGGCAGTATTAGTAGTAGTCAGTCTAGCGGCAGCAGTTCTGCTGGCTCCTCAAGCGGCAGCAGTAGTGGGGGTGCACGCGCCGGAAACAGTCCGTCATTCCCAGCCAAATTCCGTTTCTACGTGACAGGAAACAGTGCCGACAACTGGAGGCTGTTCAAACAACGATGGCTGAACCACGTCATCCTCAACGAGTTGACCAGCCGCCCAGACGTTTTTCAGGTAGCCATGTTTCTAAGCTTGATTGACGACGACGCGTTGAAAATCTTCAACGGTTTTGAGTTTTCTACGCCTGAGAGTGATCGTACCGTGGCCGAGATAATTGCCCAGTTCGATGCGTACGCCGTTGGGGCGGTAAACGAGACCTACGAGCGTTTCGTGTTCAACAACCGCAGCCAAGGGCCAGACGAGCCGTTCGACACGTTCTTATCGTCGATTCGCGTCCTGGTAAAGTCGTGCAACTATTGCGAAAATTGCACTCCCTCGATACTACGTGACAGAATCGTTCTTGGAGTCAATCGAGCGTCCAGTCTGCGCTACTGAAAGAGCCTGGTCTGACACTGCAACGCGCAGTCGACGCCTGTAAAGCGTCCGAGAAGTCGTCGGAACAGCACCTCTCCATCAAGGGTGATCAGACAGACACGCGCGCTCTGTTCACCACGTCGCGTCCAAGAGCTGCAGGTACTGTGGACACAGTCACCCACCGTGGAAATGTCCTGCATTTGGTAAGACCTGCAAGCAGTGCGGGAAGCAGAATCATTTTCAATCAGTCTGTCAGCAGGGCAAACCCAAGACCTCGTATCGCCCACCAACCGGCCAGAAAGGCAAGAACGTCCTACACACGCGCCAGGTGTATGCGCCTAGCAGTGATGATGATGATTGGTTGGATGCGCTCCATGGCCGCATGAAGAAAGAGGTGGAGACGAGGATGCTAGTGGATGGTCAAGAAGTTGTGTTTCAACTTGACACAGGAGCTTCTGTGAATATGATACCACAGACGTACGTTGGCCAAGCAGCAATCAGGCCATACCGTGGCACGCTCGGGACATGGGACAAGGCTGACGTCAAGCCCGTGGGTACGTGCCGAAAGACCCTGACGAATCCTCGCAACAACAAGCGGTATGACGTCGAGCTAGTGATCTTCAGCGATACAACATGTACTCCCTCACTGTCACTGGAGACATGTGAGCGGATGGGCCTCATCACAGTCAATGATGACCAGTTCGACCACGTTGCGCTAATCAAGGATTGGACTGAGGACTACAAAGACGTTTTCAGCGACGACAAGCTTGGCAGCCTGCCCGGCAAGCAGACTTTGAAGTGCGACGAGACGGTCAAGCCCGTTATTATGCCCAACCGACGTGTGCCTGTAGCTGTTCCCCCAAAGCTCAAGGAGGAACTGACTCGCCTCGTAAACCTCAAGGTCATACAGCCCGTCGACCAGCCCACACCTTGGGTCAGCCAGATAGTCGTGGCGAAGAAAAAGTCTGGAGCCCTACGAGTCTGCATCGACCCAAAGGAACTAAATAAAGCCCTACAGCGCGAACACTACACCCTGCTGGTTATCGACGACAAGCTGCATGAGCTGAGGGAAGCGAGGGTGTTCAGCAAGGCGGACCTGGCATCAGGCTATTGGCACGTCGAGCTAGACGAGGAATCTAGCCTGTTGACGACGTTCCAAACATGCTTTGGTCGATACCGCTTCCTCCGACTACCGTTCGGCACCAACGTCTCATCCGAGATATTTCAGAAGCGTCTGCAAGATGTGCTTGGAGACCTCCAGGGCATCATCGTTATCGCGGACGACATTGTTATACATGGTTGAGATCAGGCTGAGCACGACGCTAACTTAGCCAAGTTCCTGCAGCGATGTGATAGCATCGGAATCCGTCTCAACAGCAGCAAGTTCGAAACTGGTCTATCCAGAATCAGCTTCCTGGGACACCGCATCACCAAGGATGGTTTGGAAGTCGACCCTGAGAAAGTCAAGGCCATCAACGACTTGGCAGCTGCAACCAACCTCACTGAACTACGCAGGTTCATCGGCATGGTGAACTACCTCTCTCGTTTCGTTCCGAACTTCACCGATGTCATGCAGCCACTCCAGAACCTGCTGCAGAAGGACGTGCCATTCGTGTGGTCTGACACGCAGCAATGCGCGTTCAAGACAATCAAGCAGATGTTGTCCACCACACCAGGTTTGGCATTCTTCGACCCGAACAAGAAGATCATATTGGAGAACGATGCCAGCGAATATGGCCTGGGCTCGGTCCTGATGCAAGATGATCGCCCCATTGCTTTCGCCAGTCGTTCGTTGAAGCCTGCCGAGCGCAATTATGCACAGATAGAAAAATAAATGCTAGCCATCGTGTTCGGTTTGGAGAAGTTTCACCACTACACATATGGTGCGCACACCATTGATGTCATCACTGACCATAAGCCGTTAGTATCCATCTCACAGAAGTCGCTAAGCAAAGCGCCGAAGCGGCTGCAGTCACTGCTATTGCGCGTCCAGCCGTACGACATAAAACTCTCCTACCAACCAGGCAGCGAACTGAACATTGCTGACACACTGTCCAGAGCTCCACTTCCCGATGATAGTAACGACGAGCAGGTGTCTGGCAACAATCTTGAGCTTTGCCCTGTGAGTGAGCGTCGGCTCAATGAGATTCGCCTCGCTACACAGCAAGACCCGAGTTTCACCAAGCTAATGCACCAGGTCATGTTGGGGTGGCCAGACGCTCCCCATCTAGTAAGCCCAGAAATACGGCCTTACTTCAGCTACCGAGATGAAATCACAGCACACGACGGCCTTCTGCTCCGCGGCGAGCGCATCGTCAATCCACTATCCATGCGCAATGCTGTGAAAACCAAAGCACACGCCGGACACATGGGAGTCAACTCCTGCATACGGAGAGCCCGTGACCTCGTTTATTGGCCTGGAATGTCGAGTGAGATTCGTCAGTTCGTCGAAAACTACGACACCTGTGCTCGTGATACCAGCAAGCAGCAGCCCGAGACACTCTTCCTACACCCAGTGCCAGATCGCCCGTGGCAGAAAGTAGGAATAGACATCTTCACCATCAAGTCAAGAAACTACTTAGTTACAGTTGACTACCTGAGCAACTTCTACGAGGTTGACTTCCTTCCTGACACCCTGGCCAGCACTTGCATCAGCAAGATCAAGTATCACTTCGCCAGGCATGGGATCCCTGATGTAGTCATCTCCGACAATGGTCCCCAGTTCTCATGCCGGGAATTTAGCGCCTTCGCCGCAAAGTGGGAATTCTCGCACGAGCGCAGCAGCCCAGGCAACAGCAAATCGAATGGTGCTGCTGAGGCCGCCGTCAAGGATGCGAAGAAGTTCATGAAGAAGTGCAACGAGGAGAAGTCCGACCCATACCTCGGGTTACTGAATGTCCGCAACACACCCACTGAAGGTCTCAGCACCAGTCCCGTGCAACGGCTATTTGGTCGCCGAGCCAGAACTGTGTTGCCAACCCTGAATGATCGCCTCAAGCCCGCTGCAGCCGACATTCAGAAGAAGGAGACCAGAAGACAGAAGGCAGCTGAGCACCTTGACCACCGAAGGAAAGACCTTCCGCCACTCATGTCTGGCGCAAAGGTTTTCATTCAACCGATTGACGGCAAGTCGAGAGAATGGCAGCCTGCAGTAATCACCGACAAGACGTCGAACCGCAGTTATGAAGTCTCCTGCAACGGAAGAGTCCTGCAGCGGAATCGACAGTTTATCCGACCCGCACCGCCGACTGCAGCTGACGGACCAGACCGGGCATCATCCCCACCGTCGAGCCCGAAGCTACCTGGACCGTCAACGCCTGTCCCCAAGGCCACGCCATCCAAGATCCCGGCGCTGGTGCAACGCACGCCATCTAAGATCCCGGCGTTGGTGCAACGCACACCATCCAAGATCCCGGTGTTGGTGCAACGGTCGCCACAGTCACAAGGCGCCCGCACTGACATCCAGACAACGTGATCTGGAAGAGTGGTCCGGATCCCTAAGCGTCTCATCATGGACTCCTGATTGATCAGTAGTGTCTGTTTACGAGTCGTTTCATTATGTATGTGCGTGCTGCATTACATATGCTCAAGCCAGCTCATCATGTTGAGCTCTTCATTTGAGTCTTATTATGCCGCCGTACGCATGTATTTGATTTGCTCGGACACTCTTATATCAAAGAAAGGGAGATGTCACGTGTACTGCGTTCACGTACACATGTGTTATATGTGTGCCCCACGCATGCGCAGGTGACGTCATGCGTGGATTGGGTTTTGGCTCTTTGCTGGCGTTTCAGGCTTTCGCTAGTCAGTCTGTTCTCTACACTTCTGGCAACTGGTTTTGCCAATGTTCATATCACGTTGGAAATTTCAATTTGGTCCTGTTTGGGCCTGTGTGGATCTTTTACCGGTACGTACCTAGTACCTGTAGAATACTTAATAGTTGAACAAATTTAATTGTTTTTGCCGTATACTGATGTTCAACATAACACGTATAAAACTTGTTGGGAAAATCGGTAAAACCAATAAATCGATCGTTAGTGTTATTGGTTGATCGTCAAGGCACAATGGGCAATCGTTTCGGCCCCAATATTAATTATGTATTACAGTTGGAAGGGACTTTGCTCTGGGCATGGACATTCTGTCGTTATTCGCGAATTGCCGTTGTATCCGCAGTCGTTATTAGCGAAGTTGACTGTATAATCATTATTATCATAAGGCCACCTGGAGTTAATTCGTTGTTTCGGGTCACTTCACTCATCCGTACCAGGCAGGGTTTATTTTATATTTTATATTTTATTTTGGTTACTGCCATGTGCATACATATGTACATGTACGTCACGTGACACATGTACAACTGTGCATATCGAATATCCAAGCTTTTGTCCATCAAGCCAGTCGATCAAATTATTTGTCTGTAGACGATCCAGCTCAGTCCCATCACTGCATCAGGTCCAGGTCTCCTCCAGGACCAGATCTTGGCCTCGCTGACAAACGAGTCTGACCAGCAGCTCCCACCAACACTTCTGTCAAGGAGCAACATGATGGCGGAGCTGATGCTGTTTCAGGACCAATTGCTGATCAGGGATAATAGAAGACGACGTCGGCACCAAGCGCTGCATCATGTCAGTTGGCTGCTCCCGAGGTCGAAGTCGATGTCTGGACTGCTGAAAATCGATCGCGATCCGTGGATCGGGAATGATCTGCATTTAATAGTTTTCGACGCGAAAGGCCCTCCCGTCGTGTTCCTGAGGCTTTCAAAAAACGCGGCCAAGGATTCAAAATTCTGCGGCAAATTCCACGGGGGAAAAGGGGGGTTTTCTGCGGCACTTTCTGCTGTAAAATCAAAAATCTGCGGCACTTTTTGCAAGTAAGTTTTTTCATACTACTATTATGACAACTATGCATGAAGGAGCACTTTTCATACTATCCTTTGCAGTCACCATGGTCACGAACTGAATAAGAGTGAAGAATCTTGGAGAGACCTGCACTGGCAAGAGAAATGTGCTCAAACAGATCGCAAAGTAGTTTTTCTGCTACTTTCTGAGTAGTAATTTTAGTAATTTACCCTAAAAAATTCAGATTCCGCGGGCAAAAGTGTGGATTCCGTGATTTCCGCGGATGATGGCAACTTCTGCGAAATTTGCCGCGGCCGCGGAATCGCGTTTTTCCAAGGGGACAGAGTGTTCCGTCCAGGCGCGGTCCGGAACGAAAGCCCACCGTACATGCGCGCACGTACTGCGACGTAGGTCTACACGGTATCCGCTTTCCGCGTTCAGAGCATGACATGACATCGACGTACATTTCTTGCATAATAATAATACATTATTATTATAATGTTCGCGGGATCCGTGTCGGACTATGTACGTAGTAGGGCATTCGGGTACCCGAACATGAAAAACATGGAACCGTTTCACCCCTAGTAGATCTACGTAGTAATAATAATAAACAATGGACCCGGCCGTACCCACGTAGCAGAGAGTCGTAAAATACCGGTATTTTACGACTCCCTGCCACGTAGATATCTACGTCTCTCTGGGTTCGAGCACCTCTAAAGCTAAAGTAATAGAGTCATGTCATGTACGCATGCAGCAGCTGCTGTACGCATACTGCTGTATTACTGGGTATATTATTTTGGTTTAATTTTTACAACACTCGACAGAGAAATTTGACAAGGACTCGTACAATACAATAGCGCTAGTCCTCGTGCTACGCTACAGTACTCGGAATTGGCTCTCGTTGTCGAGAGAGTGGAGACTGCTTGTGTAAAAAAAAGCTAGCCTTTGCTAGCCTTTGCTAGCCTTTGCCTTTGTCTATTTGGTTTTCGCAACCAGTGTGTCCTTGTGGTGTCGGCTTGAGCGCAGATTTTCCGCCGCTACATCTTTTGAAACGGTTCGTGCGGTCCCTCCCAATCTAGCTCGCCCGCGCGAGCCAGCGGGTACAATGGAGACTGAAGAGAAACTAGACCTGCGGTCCAGCGAAGGAGACTGCGTCTTGTGCTCTGTGACCGAGGCTGAAGTAAGCCTGGATGAAATGCTAAGCCTGGCGTGTCGGCAAGGCAAGCAGGACATCGTGGAGCTTCTTCTGGAGAGCGGTGCTCTTGTGAATCACCGAAACAAGGCAGGGAATACTCCTCTGCTCGAAGCATGCAGCCAGGGTCATGTAGACGTGGCCAGGCTGCTTTTGGACCGAGGTTCTGTGATCGATGCTCCAACGGAATCGACGTCAGATAGCGCCCTAACTTGGGCGTGCACGCTTGGAAACGACCTAATCGTACATTTGCTTTTGACTCGCGGAGCAAACGTTGAGCACAGGACCAAAGATGGTTGCACCGCCCTGATGTTCGCTGCGTTGGCCGGACACGTGCAAGTGGCTGAGCTACTGTTGGACCACGGCGCTGAGATCAACGTGCAGTCCGACTCGAACAAGGACAGCCCGCTTACGTTTGCCTGCTGGAAGGGCCATCATGATGTTGTTGAGTCGTTGCTGAATCGCAGCGCACATATTGAGCATCGCACGAAAGAGGGCTTCACCCCTTTGATGTTTGCTGCACTCGGCGGTCACACCGCCGTCGCCGATCTGCTGCTGGTGCAAGGTGCCAAGGTGAATGTGCCGTCCGGTTCCAACAACGATATCCCGCTGACATCTGCGTGCTGGAAAGGCCACCACTCGGTCGTCAAGTCGCTCATCGAATATGAAAGCAACTTGGAGCACCGCACCAAGGATGGCTGCACGCCGCTGATGTTAGCGGCACGCGAGGGTCACTTGAGCGTGGCAATGCTGATACTGGAGCGCGGCGCCAAGTTGAACAGCCCGTCCGGCAGCGAGAACAACATTCCACTGACGCTGGCTTGCTGGAAAGGCCACTGCGAAGTGGTGGAGTTGCTGCTGCATCACGACAGCGATCTCGAGCACCACAACAAAGCTGGCTGCACACCGCTGATGCTGGCAGCCCGAGAGGGCCACGTTGAGGCAACTGAGTTGCTGCTCGAACATGGCGCCGAGATCAATGTCCCGTCCGGTTCAAACGACGACACTCCGTTAACGTTAGCATCGTGGAAGGGACATGCGGAAGTCGTGGAGCTGCTGCTGTCCAATAAGTCCAATGTGGACCACCAGACCAAGACTGGCTGTACACCGCTCATGGAGGCTACGCGGGAAGGACATGCACTCGTAGCTCAGTTGCTGCTTGAGTATGGTGCTGAGGTTAGTATGCATTTGTGGGTGCCTGTGCGTGTTTGTGTGTGTGTGTGTGTGTGTGTGTGTGTGTGTGTGTGTGTGTGTGTGTGTGTGTGCGTGTTTGTGTGTGTGTGTGTGTGTGTGTGTGTGTGTGTGTGTGTGTGTGTGTGTGTGTGTGTGTGTGTGTGAGAGTTAAACCCTTTACCGGCAGCCCCATACTTGAATGCGTCAACGTTGACGCATTCGACATGCATACAAAACCATGCCTGGCATGACGGGAAGCATCTTTTTACGGGGATTTCCCGTGGCCCTCACACAGCCAAGGTATGATCCTATCGGTAGCTGAAGAGATCCACGCGTGTCCCATTTGATTTCATTGAGAACTGCGCGATCGAAAACTTACGGAAATGCATGCGCGCCAACAATGCCGTCCGCCCCCGTCAAAACATCGCCAGGTGCATATTCTCTTGCGCAGTGAGTTCCTTTCGTCCTCGGATGACTTCTCCTGCGAGGACTTAGCAGTCATTCGCTCTGGGACCGACGACAGATAAATTAATACTTCGTTCCAGCCGCCGATGCAAGCGAATTTCAAATTACGGACCGGGGCGCACACGAAGTAAATTCTCACGCAAATGTGGGGAGCGCTAGCCGCTGAAGACGATGTCGCCGTGCTGTACCTGGAAGAATCCGATGGTGCTTATGGTGGGGAAGCCATGGAGAGCGATCCCCGTGTCGACAGTCTCCCAGAGACGGAATTTAGGCCATCGACTTTCTACGTACCTGAGTGACGGCAGCGCAGCGCGGTGTGCGTGCAACCGTACGGAGCTTTCCGACAGCGACTCTGGGGCGATGCTGCTCTCATTTGCGAGCGAGGCATGGCCACTGAAGTTTGTGATGGCTATGGCGTTTGTTTCCGCTCCGAAGTCGACTTGTTTTGGCAGTATCATGTCAGTGTCGGAATCTGACGATTTGCACTATGTACGATTTCCGTGTTTAGACGTAGAGGTGCCAATTTAGCAGCGTATGTGTGTGGTATGAGAAAATAAGTTTGTCCATGGTCAAGAAGTAGTACTAGACTTCCAATAAAACATAACTATTACTTGCACATACAAAATGTGGCCTCGTTGTGAGTTATTGGCATCCATCTAAATGTTATGGATTTCATATACAAAAGTAACATTACCGTACGGTCATCAGAGTACCATGGCAATCATGGGTATTGAGCAGTCTTCGGACAGTGAATCACACCACTTGACTACAACAGGAAAACCTGTGAAGGCGACCACTCGGATAAGGCGACCACCTGTCCAAGAGGACCACTGGAACCAGGATTAAGGGATGCTATTTCCGGTCATATGACCCTGGACGAGGAGACCACCTGGTGACAGAGACCACGTTTTGAAGTCGTCTTAGACAGGTTTCAGGGTAGTTACCTATAACAAACCCCAGTGCACTAAGGTCCACTTTGCCCACTCCCCGTCCTTTTGTTTCACGTTAAGGTAGTTCGGGACATTTAGGCTGACGTGTTGAAGTTGGGCATACGGATGTAAGCACAGCACAAACGTCTAAGGGATTTGAAATTATAATTGTATAGGGTCTATTGGACCTCTCGCTCTTCAGGAAGGGTGAATAGCCAATGTTAATTTGCAGCTAATTTGGGCAATTTTTGCTAGAAAAGGAATATCTTTAGAATGGCTGATAACATACTCATAAAACTTTGGGAAGACGAAGTACACGCCATATAGATGGCATCAAGAGTACATAAACAAGAGTGTGCAACTCGACGACCCCCAGCCCACTGCGGAATATTTTTTATGACATGCGTCTTTGGCGGCTTTTTGGCCCCGCTGATGCCATCATGCGTCGCCAGAGATCAAAGTACGAATAATTTGCACATTACAGCTACGGTAGTGGAAGCAGAACAACGGACGATAGACCGATGTGTCTTGAACCTGATGAACTCCACCGTATCTACAAAACAAGCGCGGCATCCTGGCATGTCCAGGATTTGGCTGAGGGGGGGGGGGGGGGGGGGGGATGACATCATGCTACTGTCCCAGGTCAGCCATTTTGAAAACCGATGTCAAGGAGCCGTAAATCTCACACACCACGAGCAGTATTTCTGTACACGCAGCAGCATTGTACATTGTAAACTACAATTTGCCGTTATGTGAGCCAATCAACTGCAATTGTTCATGCGAGTCCAACAATGTCTCACCGCTCAAAGCATCCTTTACATAGGCAGCGGTACTATGTCCACTCGTCACTGTGCGCTGTTCTACATGTTCTGGCTGCTCGCTGACAACAGGTTGTAATAGATTGACTAGTAACTGTTGACGCCACCTCATCTCTCTCTATCTCTATTATTTCGTGATATGTAACGTATTTACTGTTGATCACTACTACATATTATTACTGTTGAACTAACGTGTTACTTCGTATTATTTATTCACGCTGTGTTTGTGACATTCTTCCTTTTTCCAGTATTATTGTGCGTGCACACGATGACGCAGGTCGCCATTTTGTCCGTGTCATCTTGGTGCGCGAGCCTTGATCCTTTTTCTCTAGCTCTTTTAGTTTTAGTTCTTCTTGTGCAAAAGCAAGTGATTAGTCCAATGTCGAGTGGGCTGTGAGTGTGTTTTCTTCGATGTTTGTACGTTGAAAACGCGTCGAGCGCGCCTGCAGGGATCACACTGTACAACAGTACGAGTGTACACAGTCAGGTCACCCTCCGTGTTTCTGTAGCCGTGCATGCTCACTGTACTCTGTAGACTGTAGTGTGGACAATCAACACCAGCGCAAGCACCATACTCGTACCGTGCAACCGCTTAGGCCGCGCGCGCGCCCCGAGCCTAGCAGCTAGCTAGCCCTGCCTTTTATTTTTCGAAACCAAGGTCGAAACTTTTGAGGGGGAGGGGGCGCGCGCCCCCCCCCCCCAAACCCGCCATTGTACGGCTTTTATATTTTTATTTTTTCTTAAATTTTTTTAAAACTTTTTTAAAAAAAAAATTCAACTTTTTTTATAATTTTTTTTAACTTTTTTAAAAACTTTTTTCAACTTTTTAATACTTTTTTTTTTTTTTGTAACTTTTTTAACTTTTTTTAAAACTTTTTTTTATTTATTTTTTACTTTTTTACTTCATACTTCTGCATTCTGAGATTGTTGAAAAAAGAAAGAAAAAGAAGTCAGAAAGCCTTTTTCTTCACTTTGTTATGCCTACTGAGCAATCTAAAGCAAGAATCATCGTGATTGAAAGAAGAAGAAAAAGTTGTCCAGCAGGGGATTCGAACCGACAAACATCGATCACGACGGAAAAAAAGAAAAAAAGTTCGTCAAAAGTGGGATTCGAACCTACAACTTTTTTTCTTTTTGTTCTCAAACATCAAGATTCAAATCCAAAAAAAGGACTGTCATTAAAACAGAAACAGAAAAATAATAAGGCACCCATTTTGATAGTCCAGGGGATGGCCCACGCCTGGTAAAGAGAATAAAATAGAGAAAAGAGAATAAACCTACAACTTCTGGTTTACGAAGTCTGAAGAGAATGTTGAACGGCCTCTGCTGGGATGACGACTACACCATAGCTCAGTGGTTAGAGCATCGCTGGCTACAAGCGAAGGTCCCTGGTTCGAGTCCTGGTGGTGACAGTCAATTTTTTCTTCAGACTTTTCCCGTTTGTCTCCTTCCCTCAAACCAGTTAATACTTGAATTTTTTCAAGTATTATAATCATGCCTACATGCGTGTGTACGTTGGTGACTGTGTGTGTGTGTGTGTGTGTGCGTGCGTGCGTGCATATGTGTGTGTGTGCATGTGTGTGTGTGCGCGTGCGTGTGTGTGTGTGTGCGTGTGTGTGTGCGTGTGTTCGTGTGTGTTTGTGTGTGTTTGTGTGTGTGTGTGTGTGTGCGTATGGCTACACTGTGTAGGTTGAGACTCCTGACAATTACGGCCAGTCACCGTTGTTTATGGCTTGCTGGAAAGGGCACGCGCGTGTCGCCCGCCTTCTGCTCGAACTCAATGCAAACCGCGACTGTCGTACCAAGACTGGTATCACACCACTCTTTCAGGTTAGCTGTCTGTGGGGTAGATCAATCATATGGCTGTCCTGCTCTCTCTCTCTCTCTCTCTCTCTCTCTCTCTCTCTCTCTCTCTCTCTCTCTCTCTCTCTCTCTCTCTCTCTCTCTCTCTCTCTCTCTCTCTCTCTCTCTCTCTCTCTCTCTCTCTCTCTCTCTCTCCCCTCCCTCTCCCCGCTATCTTGAATGCTGTCTCTTCCCATCAGGGTGTTGGTGCTGGCGGTGGTGCTGGTGGTGGTGCTTGTGGTGGTGCTTGTGGTGGTGCTTGTGGTGGCGGTGCTTGTGGTGGTGCTGGTAGTGGTGGTGCTTGTGGTGGTGGTGCTTGTGGTGGTGCTTGTGGTGGTGGTGCTTGTGGTGGTGGTGCTTGTGGCCTCCTCCTCCTCCCCCCCCCCCCCCCCCCCCCAGCTCTCTCTCTCTCTCTCTCAAACAAGAATCATTAATGTTTCATGGAAGATAAGAAAATGTGTGATTTTTCTGGATTGATCGATCATTGTCTTAGCGCCCTAGTTTGGATTCGGCACGTTAGCCGTGAACGAGGACGCTGTTTGTTTGCTGTGTCTTTGCCCCATGGTGTTGTCAGGCGTGTCGCGAGAACCACATTGAAGTTGTACGTCTGCTCCTGGAGTACGGCTGCTCTGTCAACTCGCCGTTCCCGAACAGCAGCAAAGAGAATCCGTTGACGTTGGCGTCGGAGAAGGGCCACGTGGACCTGGTGAAGCTGCTGCTTGAGCGCGGTGGGAATGTTGAAGTAAGTGTTTTGGTCTGGGACCCTGGGTCGTTGCCGTGTCCACGTACCCAGGATGGCTGTCTGCATTCATTCCTTAGAGAGGTTATGGTGCACGTCATTTTTGATTTGATGCGAAAGTTCACATAGCCAGCAATCGCATGTCATCACGTACATTGAAAATCAACATAATTTTGCGAATCGACCTTTTTTCTGGATCACTTTTCAACGAGGACGAAGCAAAGTCGGCCGAATGAAGCCTAGCTCTTAATTTGCTAAATCCTATATATAGGATTTTGGTCATATTTTTCAACTCAAAATGGGTGTGGCACGAGCATAGAGAAAAGTATGTGACCAATTCTTCCTTGCTAGGTCTTAGTAGATATCGAGAGTTGAATAAGATAATTTTTTCAAACACTAACATCTCAGGCTCATCTCCTTCCCAATATTACTAAGGCCTGTGCCCTATTTTTCGAATCCTATATATAGGATTTGAGATTTTATTGGACCTTGTTTTATCCTTAAAACTGGTAGTTTCATGACGGCATGTGCGATATGTCGTCATGAAACCACACCTGCAATGTTCTTCTGCACATTCACTGCTTCAGTCCTTTCCATGACAGCAGCTGAACAAATATGCTCAAATTTCCAATTTTTGCTGAAAATGGGTATTCATCAGAAATATTATCGCCCTATGAATCTAAAATGTGAACATTCATGCCTCAAACATATTTACAACTTCCATGAAAACCATTATGCCGTTATTACTGGTCGTGATGACCAATAACAACGGCATAAAAGGCACACATTTTCAAATCCTATATATAGGATTTTGGGCCAGCAAATTAAGAGAGAGGAAGAAAATCACCCTCTCCACTTCACCATCACGATACTGACATAGATACGAGATGAAACAACTAAAAAATCCACAAGAAAACTGTACGGCCATCATCGCGCTGACTTTGGTCTGACTTTGGTCTGAGAATTTCTATCACGATCAAAAATGTACGAAGAGCACTCAAAAATAAGCCACAGACGTACCTTTATCGCTCTCTACTCCTTTTTCAAGGCACAAAAGTCGACTCTCCACTTTCAAACCAGGAAGCAGACATACCAGTGGTCCTTTTCAGCTGCTCCACAAGCGCAGGAAATGTTCACCAAGGGGCGCAGAGCAGCATCCATTCCAGAAAAAAGAGCTAAAATACGAGTGAGACTGCATGCCTGAGTACATGAGTACATGTATGAGTACATGCAGAAAATAGTCAATTTCAGCGTTTCTGCTCCAAACAGCAACTAGCTTCGACTAGAAACAAAGATTACACCAAAGGATCAAACAACAATCATTTTCTGCAGTTGTTTTTGCAGATGGCTTCCTTGTGCTTGGCCCAGCACGCCAAAAATCACACCTCGGAGGAGTACAAAAATTACAACTCTCAGATGTCCTCGATTGCTGGCCATGGCTCGCTTTATTTGGCTCGCGCGCGTTGGAAACAACGCGAGTTACCTGCATCGCGAGTTGAAATTTGGAGCTGAAATTGCGCGTTCCGTCAAAAATAACGTTCAGCTTAACCTCTTTAATCATTCATCTCCTTCTCCCCCTCTGCTGTATCCCTGATCCACTGACCGATCACACTAGCTGCTTTCGCCGCGGTGCTGATCTCCATTGCAGTTTCTAGCATACCATAGTTCCACTACATCCTTCTAAGCACCCAAATCCTGAGCATCCAGAAGACTGCACGAAACCCAAAGTGTGCAGCTTGTGACTTTTTCTCCATGGGTGACTGTCACGGCGAAATTCCGCAATTACATCATACTTGGTGCGGATAGGAGGCGGGAAGTGGCGTTTTGCGTACACTTGAGCTGCAGTTGTGCAGAAAGAGACCTGCTTGAATCCTGCGTGTACGCCGCACTGCATTGTTGTAGTGCGCTATTTTTGGGTACGTCGTGTGTACGTGGTCTTGGTGCATGCGCGCGCGTTGCTGTGGTGTGAAAAGCAGTCTTCGTCTTGAGTTCGTCATGTCTAGTTGTGTTTCCGTAGTCGTCTCTGTAATAAACAGTCTTTCCAAATGTAGTTATCGTCGTCCAATTGTATAAGTGTTGAGATGACATGGGGCTGGGAGCGGGTGGAGAAAAGCTATCTACAACTGCATCACTAGAATGGTGGATTTCGCGAAGTAAAACAAAGTTTTAAAGAAATGTGATCACGGAATTTTGCTGTGACCGCAACCCGTCACATGATCAGTCTCACAGAGCTGCACACTCTGGGTTTCATGTACTCTTGCCATCCAATATGCTGTCTGATGATTGACTATATCGTCGTGGTGACATCCACAGCATTAACAGGACAAAGCTTCCTGCCAATCTGAAAAAATCTGGAAAAAGCCTCCCAATGCTGTAAGGGTTTTTGACTTTTTGTAGAAATTGTACTGTGCGTGGGGTGCACGTGTGTGTGTGTGTGTGTGTGTGTGTGTATGTGTGTGTGTGTGTGAGTGCGTGCGTGCGTGCGTGCGTGCGTGCGTGTGTGTGTATGTGTGTGTGTGGTGCCAGCTAGTTCGGTTGGTGGGTACACTTATGCCTGATTGTGTTGGGTCTGTTGCCAACGGGCTCGGCTACTTGAAGGTGTAATGTTGTACCTGCCACCTTTGTTGGTTCCAGGGTTCATATACGTTCTCTTTGAAGTATACATACCTGTTAACCATGGACTACTTCTAGCTAGATTAACTCTTGTGTAATCAACGGTACTAGTGAAGCTTATATCAGATCCACTCTGATTTAGCCACCCACACTAGTAGCAAGTATTACCTTCACTGGGGGCAGGGGTAACTGCAGTTGGATCCCAGGACGGATACCCTGATGCCGTCAATCCTTTTTCTGCACCTTGTCCTCACCCACTTACTGAGGTGTGGTGAGCCCATAAGTGGGATCATTTTCCAAGTCCACCCAGAGTTTTGGGGATTTCAGGGAGTGTCGGCCGTTGGACGGTTCAATGGCCAATTGAGTCATCTTTCCAAGATTCCTTTTGAGTCTCTCTCCCCTCTCCCGAGGAGACCCACGTGACCAGTTTTGGTAGTGAGCAACAAGTGCAAGTACAAGTGTGTGTGTGTGTGTGTGTGTGTGTGTGTGTGTGTGTGTGCCGGCATTGCTGTCTGCTTGTTTCCGCCGTTGCATCGTTGTGCAGGTGCGCACAAAGAAGGGAGCCTCACCGTTCTTCTTGGCATGTCGCGAGGGTCACATGGGAATCGCCATCATGCTATATGAAAAGAGAGCCGATACGGAAGTGCCGGATTCACGCAGCGTCACGCCTTTGCTTGCGTCTTTCCGCAATGGTCATGTTAAAGTGGTTGAGTGGCTCCTTAACTATGTCAAGGCGTTCCCGAGTGACGACGATTGTTCGGTAAGCAACGATGCACGTTCTACGCACTCTACACTATGTGTCTTTGTGTGTGTGCGTGCGTGCCTGTCCGCCCGCCTGCCCGCCCGCCTGTCTGTCTCCCTGTCTCTCTGTCTGTCTGTATGTGAATATGGCTGATCCGGTCATGGTCTGTTTTCTTGTTGTTGCTTGTCACGTGTGTGTGTGTATCTGTGTTGCCACACCTGCCGACATGTCAGTAGCCTGCTGGTTTTGGAGGCTTGTCACAACCTGCCGACAATTGGTCTTCTCCTGCCGACAACAGCCATGATAATATCCAATGTTGCCCTTCTGCTTGGTTTAGAAATCATGATCCAGATTTTGTTGCCTACACTGGTCATCATGAGTTTTTCTGTAGCTCTCTCCTGCCCTGCTAAGCAAGATCATCATCAGTCTTGGGAAAAGATGGAAAACTCAGTTTGAGTCTCACTTAGAATCGCGAAAATATTGGCGCCTGTATGCATGTGTATACTGGGGTTACTATGATTGGGGGTCTGGAGGCGAAGCCCCCAGATGATGCATTTTCTTTTTCTATCCCACTGGTATTTGGCTAAAATGTTGTGGCAACACTGGTGTATGCGTGTGTGTGTGTGTGTGTGTGTGTGTGTGTGTGTGTGTGTGTGTGTGTGTGTGTGTGTGTGTGTGTGTGTGTGTGTGTGTGTGTGTGTGTCACACGTCTTTCTTCTCTTTCTCGGTCTCTTCCTGACTTTTCTTTCATTCTCCTGGGTGGTTACCAACAGCCAGTGTATGCCGGAGTATGTGGTGTGGTGTGTGTGTGTAGAAAAAAAGAAGAAAAAAATGGAAAAATGAAAAATAGGGATTCACTGGCCAGAAAAAGTCACTTCAATCAGCTGTGTGGTGGATACCAGGCTAAAAATAGTGGCGGTCAATTCATCAGCCTTGCAAGCTGTTGAATGGTGTAATCCCAGCACAAGTTGCTATGTCTAACATAGCTGCTCGCTATCATCGCTTCCGCGATGGGCAGGTCTGAGGTCTGAGGTGTGTGTGTATATGTCTATCTGTCTCAGTGTGTCTGTGTGTCTGTATGTGAATATGGCTGATCCGGTCATGGTCTGTTTTCTTGTTGTGTCTTGTCACGTGTGTGTGCCGGCATTATCGGGATCATCCATCTTACGTCACAACAGAAAGCCCTGTCGGCCCCTTGTCCACCTGATTCGAAAATGGATGAGATCAGGACATTGCGGGAGCAATGTACTGAGTTGATCATGGCAGCCAAAGCGAAGAAGACGCACGCAGCAGAACGGTGTGCCGAGGTACACAATGCATAGTTGATTCCTATTTTGAAATCTGTTATTCTCACCATGGCGACCTGTGGCCACTAAGAGAAGAAGAAATACGGGAACGGGGATTGGATAAAGATGGTTTTTTTTTAAATTCTTTATTCTCACGATGGCCTCATCGCCAATAAGAGATACGTTTATGAGAAGGTGAGATGCTGTGGGTTATGCAGTTGGAAAGTAATATTTACATCACTTTGAATTTTACAAGTATGGAAGAGGGTGAGCGCTGCAGGAGCAGATTGAGTTAAACTGCAGTGAGTAGACTAGTTGTTGTTGTTGTTGTTGTTGTTGTTGTTGTTGTTGTTGTTGTTGTTGTTGTTGTTGTTGTTGTTGTTGTTGTTGTTGTTGTTGTTGTTGTTGTTGTTGTTGTTGTTGTTGTTGTTGTTGTTGTTGTTGTTGTTGTTGTACTTGTTCTTGCTGCTGCTGCTGCTCCATCTGCTCCATCTGCTGCTGCTGCTGCTCCATCTGCTGCTGCTGCTGCTGCTGTTGCTGCTGCTGCTGCTCCTGCTGCTGCTGCTCCTGCTGCTGCTGTTGCTCCTGCTGCTGCTGCTGCTGCTGCTGCTGTTGCTGTTGCTGCTCGTATTTGTTTAAACCCTTTCAGTGCTAATGACGAGATATCTCGCTCTGTAAAGTGTACCTGAACGGCGGAAGACGAGATATCTCGCTCCACGGTCCGCGCAATAGTACAAAGTGCATATATCACTGTACAAACTGTCGTAAGTCATGTCAACGAAGGCCGTTGGAAAGGTATTGAGCTCAGCTTTCCAGTGATATAAAGTTCATTGCGATAGGACTAGATTTGAGTGAGCGATGACGAATAGAATTGCAACAAAATCAAAATACGCTTTCTGGCCATCAGTTCAAACCTTTTGCTCGCAACTCGCTTTTTTTAGGGGATTTCCCTTTGCTACAGCGCATGCGTGTTGGGCATCAAACAAAGCGCTTGCATCTCAGCTTTGCAGCACAGTTTGAATCGTGAAGTTTGGTTTAGTTTGAGAGAGATGGCGAACGAAAATGTATTATGAAGTTGTTTAGCGATTCTGATACATGTAACGGCTTCTTATAGAGCACATAGAAGTGGTGCTCGCATGCCTTTGGAGCTGACAATTGACAGAGAGCCTTCGCTTGGCTCTGGGCTTTCCAACCAGCCATAGATCGTGGAAGTCCACCCATAAATGCAAACGGCAAAAGATTTTGCTCGGCGACGTGCTTACAGGGTCTAAAATGAAAGCAAGTGCGCTGAAAGCTTAGCCGGCAGGGGGAAACTAGGCCAGCAGTGAAAAGGGTTAATATTCGTTCTGGGAATATGCACAATCAACTTTGCTAGTAACGACATCCAGCCGGGCACCAGAATTACCGTATATTCTTTGTTACCGTAAAATCCCGCCAGAGCGCCCCTCCCTCCTCGACGCTTGGGGTGCGGAGGGGCGGATGGGCGAGTCCTACTTACCGCATTCAGAACTGTATATGAACAAGTACTCACCCTACGAGAACTGTTTGTGCATCTCGTAAACCCACCAAAGGTTAAGAGCCAGGAGTCGTACAGACCCGTCAAAACTCAGGTTTTGTGCGATCCCTGGTCAAGAGGGTGGGCACTGTTGCGTACATTTCCAATGGGGTCGGGCACGCGTCTGCAGTACAGTACGGCATCACAGACTGTGACAGAGTCATACGAGGATACAATCAATCATGTCCCTGACAAGAAGTCAGGGAGGGGCGGATGGGAGAGACGGGGCGCTCTGGCGGGATTTTACGGTATAAGCGCTGAGCTGATATTTTTTCAACACCCTTCTACCCCGTGCTTATATTGGAGACCGCGCTTATATGTTTTCAACCAATACATCCATACAGAGCAAGAAGAAATAATATGCTAGATAGTGGATATCATGCATGCAGCATTGATTTCCACCAAGACCGTGCTAATAATAGAGACTGTGCTTATAATGTTTCGAAAGGTGCTCACAGTGTGCTAGTATTAGAGACTGTGCTAGTAATGGAGACCTGTGCTTATAATAGAGAATATACGGTATGCCGTTACTGGCGAAGTGTTCTTACGAACGAACGGCCCCGTTTACATGTATATTAACCCATATTTTGTATAGTATGACATAAAGTGGAGTAGCACGGGTAGTCGATACCCGTGCTACCCGTGAGGACCTCGGGTAGACGGGTACAGAATAGTTAGTGGAAATAAAATAAAAAGGATGAGAAAGACAAGAGTTCTTGATGCAGGTTATTGAAAACACAGGAAGCACATGTATTATTAGTATATTCTGTTGGTAGTGGGACGATGCTCAGGCAACAGTCCATCACACCAGACGATATGCTACGGCTCTGGGTCAAGGCAGTCAAGCAAGCTGCCAAAAGGAGGACAAAGAAGGACAGGACAGTGCAGATAACGAGTGGCTACGCTCGAAGACTCTTCAAAGTGGAAATGCAGTCCTACCTTGATTGCAGTTATTTCTCCACCCGGCGCTGAACAGCCGTCGGAACTGTTTTTGCGAGGTGAGCCTCCGCAACAGCCTTCGCAACTCCGACGGTATGGAGGCATATGTCCGCAGCAGACAATTGTACTCTGCATGTATCGACTCGGCTCCTTGTTCGGCGAGAAGGCCCAGTCCGACGCGTACGCGCATCATGCTGGGAGCAACATGCTGCTCTAGCAAATGCATCTTCGGTGTTATGTGGGCCATTTTGCGTGCCACCAGCTCGGACCTGACGAGGGCGATGAAATCTCTGATGTTGCCACTCAGATCTTGAACTTCTTGGTCAGTCACCTGTATCAGAGCAGATAGAACACAGCGAAGCTCTGCACTGGATATTTTGGATCAAGTCGACTTCACGAGCAAAGTCTCCATGAAGAATTCCCAAAGTCACTTGTGAACGGTATCCACGTGCGAGCAAGTTATGGTATCATGTCAGCGGAAGTAGAACTGTGAAGTCTCATAAGATACCACCATGGGCAGCAGGAAAATGGTCTTAGTATCTGAGGTATCCAGCATAATTCAGTATGGATCAATACACTGCATAATTCAGTATGGATCAATACACTGCATAATTCAGTATGGATCAATACACTGCATAATTCAGTATGGATCAATACACTGCATAATTCAGTATGGATCAATACACTGCATAATTCAGTATGGATCCATACACTCGTGCTCGGGACAATGTGTGTTTTAACCAAGAGTATGGCAGAGTGCGTACTAAGTCCACTGCTCTCTGCCGGTGCTGAGCATGGAGCTCGGCTAGCTGCACCATTTTTTCACTGTCACCTGGCGCTAGCGCAGCGCCCGCTGTCGTGACCAGCTGCGCATCAAGCGAACGAACATCACGGAGGAGGCAGTCAAACAACAGTGAGTGAATTCCAAAGTCGAGGTGGAGGGCAGGCAGCACTGTGTCCTCGACTGGGATTGGCGGGATAGGTGACCGGATAACATTGTGTAATGTTTGGCGTTGCTGATGTTGCCGCCTGCAGCTGTAAACCTTGCGAGGTCGGCTCCCAGTGACTCCAGGGATCCAGGAGTTCTGTCGTTCTCATCCCGCTCGTTGCTGGGCAACTCCGTGGCTTTCTTTGTGCAGTGGCAGTGGAGGCAGGGTCGCACACCACTGGAGCCGGACAGGCCGTAATTGCTCGTTTGAAACTTGTAGTCTCCAAACAAATAGAAATACAGCCTCTTGCCGTTCCACTCCCCGCTAGCTATCAGTTCCTCTAGCTGTGGGCGGTAGATTTTCAGTGCTGTTTCTGTGTTGGCTGCTGTGTCCTTTGCATTAAATATGCAGAGCGGAATTGTGCGCTTCACTGAGTTCGGGTGCTCGACACTTGCAATCTGCAGCACACAAATTAGAACAGCAGCAGATCTTCTTTTCAACTTCTCCTTTTTGAATTTTTTTCAAAATATGCCATGCCACAAACTTTCTCTTTCCATTTTTATAAATGCAAAAGTGCATGCGTGTGTGTGTGTATATATATTTACCTGCATGCAGAACTTGAAAGAACCTCCTCCATGGTCACTTCAGCTTGACGTATATCCTGTCATCAGAAATGGCACCATTGTGCCATGTCGGCAGGTTATGCTTCGCGTACATGTCAAGGTAGTGGTGCACTGTAGCAGGCAAGTTGGGTAGTTAGACCACCGCCACAACCGCGAAGGATGCAGCCTGACTTCTGGCCCATTGGAATAGTTTCCGCTACATATGCTGTCAATGCTTCTGACAGTGTGGCACAAACACGGTGCTCTGATTCCAGGTTGAGGCCATACGTCTTCAAGCAAGAGCGCAGGACGCGAAGCTTGTTCCAGGATAGATTTAGATCAGCCTTGAGAGAGAGAGAGTGCAAGGCCATCCTGAGCTGGAGATGGAAGTACGCCGGCCTGTTCCAGTACGTCTTTCTTGTCTCATCACTCGTATTAGCCAATGACGTCGCTGCTTGTGCCCTAGCACCACTGGCGCCGACGCATACGGTCTCATCTGAAACAATGAAAATACCAGTTGAAGAGTAATCAATCATCGGGGCGGCATAGCCAGTTACTGGCAGCTGTGCACAAGGTCAAGATCAAGGTGTGTGTGTGTCAGGTCAGGTGCGTGTGTGTGTGTGTGTGTGTGTGTCGTAAGGCGAAATAGCACGTCATAGTACATTTGAGATCAGCGGGAAGAAGATGACGACGTCCACTAATTTAGTATCTGTGCACACGAATCTGCTGTGTGTGTGACTCTGTGTGTCAGCTATGATATCATCTTTTGTGGTTCCATGCCTCGCATGTACGTCTGAACCATCCTGCAAAGTTTGAATGACGTAGGTTGAGCGATCGCTCCGCGAAACATACTTTTTGAAATTCTCTCCATAGTATATCTTCCACCATTGAAATTTTGAATTTCTTCAAAAAAAGTACTGAGATGGGTGGCTTGCAACCTCGATATGGCTTGTTCCAGGCATGGTTTGGAGCCATCTTCTGTTGAAGTAGTGGCGG